ATGGCATATGGTAATTAAAAGTACCAGACTGGTGGAACTAACCTTCTTGGATGTTTAACAGCCATACTCTGAGGCCTATACTAAGTTGGTCAGGGGGACATAAAGGACAGTTTTTGCTCCTTGCCTTCCTAGGTCGACTAGTTCCAGGGGTCTATGAGCATCTCTCAAAATGTCCTGTAATTGTGGTCGGTCACCTGTCCACTTGATCAAGGAGGCCAAGGAGACCCCACCAGATGGACTTGAACCAGTGTCTAGTCTACAAAGAGGAGGGCCAACACAGAGGAATCATTTCCTCCTTGCTTCCAAGCAAAGCCAGCCATGGTGGAACAGGACCTTTGACTTATCTTCACATAGGCGGAACTGGTAAAAGAAAGGAGCCAGGGGCTCCTCCCAAGCCCATGTGACCCCTGAGGAACTGATCCTCAAACGACCTTAAGAGTAAAAATAAATTGGTTTATCTGGGCCAACTGTATGGCCTTAAACACCCAAAAGGAAAATATAACCAAAGATCATATCGGCCAATATAATTTCTTAAGAGTCTATATGTATAGCTAAAGGCTACATAACAAGTAACAATGCCAGACAGGCGATACCTTCTTTTGAGTTGTTGGCCAGGGTGGACCAAGGGACTTCCAGATAGTAACTCAGCATAGAACTGGGAAAATGAACAGCAGACCGCAGTCTTATCTGAAGGAATATTGACAACTGATTACTGCTAGATGAGGAACAGCCGACCCTCCTAAAACGAAGACCTCTAGATAGGCTGACTAGAGTCACCAGAAGGGCAAGTAGCTGGGAAGGGCTGGGGGTGCCGACAACACAGCAGTCACAGGGATATCAGAGTATAAGGGCTCTAGTGGGGTGGGGGAGGCTATGGGAGGGTGCCATCTGGGAAGTGGGTGTATAACCGAATAAGATGGTTTGGGATGTTCTGTGTGATACACACACACACATACACCAAGAAAAAAAATCAAAATTTTAAAAATGTATTATATTTGAGGAGGAGGCATAGAAATTTATGTCATGTTAATTAGTAGAGGTGATAAACATTACCATTCAAATCTACCCAATGACTTTATAAACATACATAGGCACCAAGGATCCAAGTGCAACCGATTATGACTAGTAATAATCAGATACATACAGATTAGAGATGCATGCGCCACTAGAGGTCATTCAGTAGATATTTCACTCCTTTCTTAATGTCCCCTCCAAAACCTTCCTGAAATTCAATTTCATTGCATCATCATTAATGGATGGAACTTGAAGTGAAGAGGTTGCTAGGTAGCACACTGCCTTCATGATGCAATAACTTGTGAACCTAGAAACTTGCACCCACTGGTGAAAGAGATGTACTCTTTCTCTGGAGTGTCTTACTGAATATTTTAAAGCTGTAGTGAAATGCTTCTTCTAATCATGTAGTTAATGAATAATTTTTAAAAAGAATCTAAGAACAATAACAACAATAGGAATAAAATTTGTGGTGTATAAAGCTCTTACCTTAGAATGAATACTGCCATCAATTCCAAAAACCCACTTCTGGGATTCATCTCCTTTATGTCTATACATGAAATTTTATTACAGATTGTTACTTTTTCTCCACACAGAAATACTTTTGGGTTTCAAATGAAATGATCACTTTCATACAGTCTGGCAAAGGGGTTTCCCACATTCTATCAGTCTCTCTGCTAGTTCCCAGCACTGTGGTCCCCCAAATGCTGTGTGTGTGTTTGTGTGTGTGTGTGTGTGTGTGTGTGTGTATGTGTGTGTGTGTGCATGTGTGCTCACACATGTATGTGTATGCACATATGTGTATTTCTACCAACAACAGTGACAAAGAATTTTAGAGAGTAAATATGATCAATGAGCATGTGATAGAGCCAGACACTGTACACAATGTCTATAATCCCTGGAGCAGGAGGATTGGAAGCATAAAAACTCAATCCAAAATAGGAGAGATGGAAGGAAGGAAGGGAGGAAGGAAGGAAGGAAGGAAGGAAGGAAGGAAGGAAGGAAGGAAGGAAGGAAGGAAGGAAGGG